AAAACGGCGAAGGGTTAAAGGGCTCGAAAGACCTCTGGTTGGACAGCTCCTTAATTAATCATACATCTATCAATATTTGTGTAACGAAAAAATAATAAACAATAATAATTAGTCAGAAAAATACCTCGAATTTTCTTATATATATACTTTTATACGTATTCTTTCAGAGGTATTATGATGAGAAATTGGTTGTTTTTTTTAAAATGTTTTTTTTTTTTTTCATGAAATCATGAGTTTTTTAAGAATCATTTGTACTAAAGTTGTGGTATTTTCTAGAATCCATCAAGATCTCTTAAACCAAGTTAATTCTAGATTGAATACGATTATTTTTAATTTTGGTGGATATGGCACTCAAAGTATTTGATTTAAATGAAAAAAAAAAACATTGCATGCGTCCTTTATCTGCATGATAGCTCACTCATTTTACACGCAGAAGTACTCATTTTAAAGCTTATTTTGAGCACTATAAAAACCGATTTTCATATCTAGCCTAATAATGTTCCTAAAACACTATAAAATAACGATTTATTAAGATTTTAATTGATATAATTCTGTTCATTACATGATTTTCGTTAAAATGTATATTTTTGAAGGTGTTAGCAACAAATGATGAAAAACGCAAAAAAGAAACAAATATTCAGTAGCCAGTAACTTGAAAAGTATTTCCTTTTTTGAAAAACATTATTAAATATTTTTCTCGTATAATTAGTTCTTTTATCGATACCCAACGTTATTTTGAAAAAAGTAAAATTACACCACTGAAAAGAAATGTCATCCACCCGAGAAGTGGTAAAGGAGTCTAAATTGTTTTCACTTCTGAAGAGTAAGATGAACCTAGTTCCAAAATTCCAAACGAATTGGAAAATAGTAAAAATTTCAGACTCAAAGCGCTCCATTGAGTAAATATTCCGTACCCAATGACAAACATATGAATTTTTGACACAATGAAACTTCTAAATAATTTTTTTTGTATTGTGACTTAGTATAGTAAGGCAAAACGACTGCAAATTGAATATGTTTGAGCGCAATCACTTATGGCTCGCTCCTTTGCGCGAATTCGTACGGCGAATCTGTTCGCAAAGTGCGCAAACAAAATTATTGCAAGCAAAAGCAAACCACGCGCACGTCAGACGCATGCGCAGACTGCATCACTTGTCAAATGCATGTTATATTATTTGCATCTTATATTAATTTAATTTTTGGCACATCTCAGCTGCTTTTCGGCATTAATAATGTAGACATTACATTTTCTTTATTCATAATTATGAATTTATTATATTCTAATATTGCCTTAGCCTATAAGTGAATAGAAATGTTTTTAATTGACAGTCCTCAATTGTTTTTAATGTCAAACTAAGCTTCAAATATTTTCAAGGGCAAACAATGATAAGCGGTTTTTTGTAATTTTTTCTATTTATTTCTACAATTTAACTATATTTCTATGAATCTAAAAAATTCATTCTAAAAAATTTCCCGAACAAACTTCAGGAAGATTCATGAAAATCCGAATTATAGTTTAGGAGGAAATATGAAACTTACATTGTTACAGAAGAATTTTATATATAAGATTGGTATGATTGGTATATTGGTTTGTGTGCCATTCATGGCATTGTTGATATCATGTTCATTTTTGAGGGGCATGTTACAGTTTACTTTGCTTTCAATTTGGCAAGAAAATTGTGAGAGAAAAGCTCGATACTTTTTTAGTTTTTACTTTTAAAACATATGTTTAATATACAAAGTCCGTATAAAATTCTCAAAATGCGTCGAGGTTTGTGTCGTCTGTGCGGGCATTCTGTGCAAAGCAGTTTCTGCACCATATATAGATATTAGAACTCTTTTTGAACTCATTTAGAATATTACTTTTTACGTTGTGACAGGTATGGTGTAAAACAAATATCATTTTACTGTTTTTTAAGCAATGAGTGTCGGTTTTTCACATGAATTTGATTTAAAATTACACATTCTTCTTAATCTCAACTGTTTAATTAATTTTATACCAATTGTATCGTATTCAATCCAAAGAATACAAAATAAACAAACTTCATTGAGCATATGATGGTATTCCAAGCACCGAAAAGGAGCGATAAGCGATATTTCTTTGACGTCAAGCAACAGAGCATAATATTTTGGTTTTTAATTAAATAGATTGGATGCATATATTTACTACGAATAACTATTAAGAAAGATCTAGAAACTACTCCAGTTACGTTTGTCATTTTAAATTTGGTCAATGTGATTTTTGGATTTCTTAAAATTTTCATTTATTTTAATAAATTTACATTTGTATAGTAGGTCATGAATTTAATTTACTCCTGCTTATATATTTGTTCCGTATTTTATAACGTTTACGTAATTTACTTTCTTCAAAATGTATGACATTGTATCAGATACAATGTATCTAGTTTTAAAAATTATTATGACAAATGTACAGTGTCTTGATGAGAAGAAAAAATACATTGTAAAGATTTTGCTCTAGTACTGAAGATGTAGATATCGAAAAATGTATTTTTTATTATGTTAATAACATAATATTTTTATATATTATTTAAATACGTTGAAATAGTCTAAATCATAGTAAACTAACTTCTAAAGCGTTCATTTTATAAAAAAAAAATTATATTCGGACGACGGGTTCGTGTTAATAAAATTACTAAAGGTCCTGCAACACTTGATTCATCAGATTTTTTTAAATCGATCATTATTTAGATTATCTCACATGTGAATATAAATGTATTGCCGCTTTGTGGCGTATCTCATTTTATTGTATTCATGTTAATCCTTTAGCTTGCTTGTGAGCTATTTCTTTTCGATTTATTTAATGAAAAAAATTGAGAATTATGTTGAAATGTATAACAATAAAACCTGAAAGTTTTGTTTTTATTAAATATTTAGTTCCTTCCCTAAAAATTCCTAAAAAAGCGATTTTTTGTAACCTCTAAGGCAGGCTCCTCCCCACTTACGAACCCAATGATTTTTTAATCATACAAATCGGTTATTTCATACCGTCGAAAATATCGAGGACATTTGTTTGGACCATATAGAAAACTTCAAAATTAAAAATCTTGGTACGGAATCCAAAAAAGTTTATACAAAATTGGTACACATTATTAAAATTTCTATAAAATATCTGATAATTTTATATACATATGTCCAATAAACATTTTTGACCGCCAAATGGCATTTTTTAATTTATTTTTATTGAGAGTCCATAACCGCTAGACCTGCTATCCTAAAAATTTTACCAGTTGTTCATTTTGTCAATACAAGTAAAATGTTTTTTGAATTATTAAAATCGGACGCTCCGTTCTCTTAAAAACTGATTTATCGTTTTTGGCACTTTTTGCCCGGTATCTTCTGAACGGCTAGACCTGCCTTCGCCAAAAACTAATCAGCACGTCTTTTTATCCATACGAATCGAATGTTTTTTTAATTATTCAAATCAGTTGATCGGTGTTCCCGAAATCGTCGACGAAAATTTGTATCCGCACACACACACGCACACATACACACACATCCCTTTTTTCTAAGATATGCGAAAATATTCAGAAACCTTTGAAACGTAAAAATATATTAAAATTTTCATTTTCGTTTTTTTGCAATTACTATAACTTGTCCTACGGGAAGTTAATAATAATAGTAAACATCATAAGTTTGTTAGCCTCACATATTACACTCTTAGGTTATTAAATGTTCTATTACAATTCATTCTATATGCAATAGCAAAAATTATATCAGACAAGGATCAAAAAAGTTCAACAATTTCTTTAAAAAATCACATTACAATAAATGGTTTATCATGATATTAGTTTATCATGCCGTGTTTGTACTACCAAACTATATTTTGTGTAAATTGCCCAAGTGCCTGGATGACGATTGACTGACAGCGTGATCTCTACATTTGAAATAAAAAAAATCACTGATCTTTTTATATGTTTATGTATGTATTTCGTGGGGTAGTAGATTCTTGTCAGTGGGACTCTCCATTTGTTTAGTAGTACTAGTTGTAGTGCTTCGTTTTATGTAGCCTGTAGATACCGTAAATTCGTCTTCGTTGTCGCGTTCCACACGGGAGCAGCCTACAACAATACTGGTTCGTCCGTTTTTCATCCATTCCAGCGGGCTTTTATAGTTCAAGACAGATCTCAGCAAATTTATCATCTTAAATGTTTATCCGAATTTGATGTTCGTATGTTTGGTGAAGCTGAGTCTACGGTTCAGGTTCAGGTTTAGGCCAAGGTATTTGACCTTTTTGAACCATTTTACTTTGTGACTCATTACTTTATTCTGCCCAACTCTGTCAGTTTTGTCAGCTTTGTTGCTCTTTGTAATCATGATAGCCTCCGGCTTGGTGTTGTAGACCCTCTGGCGAGACGTAAAACAAAATAAAACACATTTGTTTTGTTTTCATCACCATGACAATAACGAACTTATGAAAAAAGCGAGAACGACGGATTACTGTCGAGTTGCTGGCTTAGCCTTCAACAAAGCTTCTAGAGTTTAAAGGGTAAAATTGGTAAAACCATTTTACCTGCTGCTAAGAAAATATTTGAAGATATTGATATGTTTTTAATTAATATAACCGGGCTCGCCCGTAGGTTAAGAGCGACGGGACTTGTTTCAGAGGTCCCGGTTTCGATACCCACTTCGAGCAGCCTGTTGTCAGACAACATTGACAACGGTTTTCACTTGGAAATATAGATTGCAATATGTTTCCAAGTGAAAATAGCCCTCACCCGGCATTGCTGCACCATACTTGCCTTATTACAGAAATTGTAATAATAATTTATCATACAGAGATGTGACAACTGTTTGGGTTGCCATCTGTCAAACAGACTAGTATTAAGTCAAAATCAGCACAACAGCTTATAGGACTATTAGGTTCTGATTGCTGTTCAAAAATAATAATAAAAAAAAATTAATATAACCTACATACAATTTAGTACCATTCAAATTAATATTACTATTTATAATGACACATTTCGTTTTGTCTATTTCAGCTGCAAAGTAAGCGCGAACTGTTCTTCAAATCCGAGAGCCCCAGTAGCCCTGGTGTTCCACCGCCTCAACCGCCTTCGCTAGCAACTTCGCCTAATGGTCAACCGCCTTCTACAATTCCAACCGCCACTCAGCCATCATCACAAGCATTGACTAGTACTGCGCCAGTAGCCGCAATTAAAGAGACCCTAGTCAAAAAGGCGGTAGCTTCCGCACTGGAAAACCAGGTAATTTGCGTTTCCAATAATTATTAGAAAGCATTCAGATAGCAGTCATTGTATTGATTATCTGTTTTTCTATTAAATGATATAGCCGCATAGTTTCCATGCTAGTATATAAATGATTCATACGCCATTTTTAAAGAATTTGAATTTTTAACTTCTGAAAGTTGACTTTTTTTAAACTTTCGTTTTATCATAACCGTCGAAGATATAGAAAACAATGGACTTATATTTATTATACTCTGAACTATAATAAATAATATAATGGACTCATATTATTTGTAAAAAATAATTTAAAAATGTATTTCAAACAATTAAATTAATTTTTTATCTTGTATTTTCTGACCTCATGATTATTTATGCTAACCTTTAATTATCATTATTTATTTGGTGACGCGAAGATTGAAATAACTTCATTTTCATAAAAGAAATAAATGAGATATATGCTAAAATGGTCATTTACTTTCCCAACCATGTAAAACACATATTATGGTTACTTGGTTTTTATACTCTCTCTAGACAGATTTATTAGAGCTAGTAGTTCGGTCCGTCTGGATAAGGTTAAATATCAATAATCAATTTTTATTATTAAAATAAGTTATTAGTTTATATTAGTGATGTGCCAAGTCGAATCAAGTGTTTCGAATCATTCGAATCAAGCCTTTAACGACTTGATTCGAATCAGATTTTACTTGATTCGAATCAACTCGTATCAAGCCGCGAAATATTTACTGTGATAAATATAAAAAAATGTTTTAATTTAATTCAATATTATAATAATATAAATAATAATAATAATAAATATAAAAATAATAATAATAAATATAAAAAATAAATCTTGAATTAAGGGGGGCGATACATGTAATCGCCTTAATTTTTACCATTTTTTGAGGACTTTTTAAACTGGGAAGGAATGACTGAATCTTTTTGAACTTTTTTAGGGTTATTTATTATATATTAAAATACACAAAAAAAAATTTTTTTTATTTTTTTTTTTAAATGGCTGCCGTAAAAATAAATCTGCCAAGACCCTCTCGGAAAACGCCATCAATTTGCGGGCGTTCTCACTTTTCGTACGGTGATCTGAATTAAAAAAAATTAGTTTGTACGCGTTCATAATACATATATCTTCTAGTTAAACCAAAAAAAAATTAAAAAAGTCACAAAATCGTAAATTGGCACACCTTAGAACAAAAAGTTCGATTTTTCACCTTTTTTCAATGGTTTTTTTGGTAAAAGGATTAATTTTTGAAAATTTTTTTGGAATGTTTGAGGTTAAACTAGAAGCTATTACTGTAAAGTAGATGTGTGCAAAATTTCATTGGAATCGGTTGAGAACTTTTTGAGTTATCCCGCCCGCAAATTTAAAAAATGTCGTTTTGAGAAAAACGCGTTTAAAGTTTTGACACATAGAAACAGATAAGAGTACAATAGCACTCAAGCGTCGAGTTGAGGCGTGGCACTTAAATGAGTTTTTATTGTATAAATAATTATAATTTTGTTTTGAATATTTACAGGCATATTTTTGAGATGTTATTGTAACGATTTATGAAAAAAAATCGATTTTTTTTTCCCTTGTTACATGTATCGCCCCCCTTAAATCATGCGAGTCACTCGGCTTTAATACGCTTAAATGTATCACCCGACTCCAATTTATATGACTTTAACCGCATTCATTGTCTAACAATACCATCCGACTCCATATGACTCAAACCGACTCATCCCGACTTCAAGTCGATATGAATTCATCCGAGTTTCTATGACTCAAACCGACTCATCCCGACTTCAAGTCGATATGAATTCATCCGAGTCCTTATGACTCAAACCGACTCATCCCGACTTCAAGTCGATATGAATTCATCCGAGTTCCTATGACTCAAACCGACTCATTTCGACTTCAAGTCGATATGAATTCATCCGAGTTCCTATGACTCAAACCGACTCATCCCGACTTCAAGTCGATATGAATTTATCCGAGTTCATATGACTCAAACTGAATCATTCCGACTTGAGTTCGAAACATGTGTCCGTGTTTTAGCGTATCGACTTATCGAGATGCAGTGCGTATGGGTTTTGGGTGTTTGTTTATTTTTGACTAAGCGCTGAGAGCAAATTTGTTCAAGAAATATCAAAAACTCGTTTAGATAATAAATACGCGATTTAGATTTTTAATTATTATCAAAATAAACTACACAACGAGTTTCATACACATACAAAATTATCATATTTTAATTATGCAAGTAATGGCAAATTCACACAAATGAAATAATATCAATCTTTACAGTAGTGGATTGAATTTTAAGTCATTCGTAAGACGTTAGATTCAGCTCCCTGTTTAGATTAGATCTAAACAATCAATAATATACACATGCATTCGTTCAACGTAAGATTAAGAATATTGTTTTATATGCTTTAGTGATAGAGAAGTGTTTGGTTATATTTTACTGTAAATTCACTTGAAATATTAGTTATATTTGTAGCTAGTTTATTATTATATATATAATATAAATGTAATTATCTCTGCACTTTTTGGAATCAATTGCTTACTAAATTAATTATTTCACTTATAAAATTATTAAAATGATATTATTTCTTCTCTTAAATTATAATTGTTCATATATGAACTTGATTCGAATTGATTCGAATCAGGTTTTTTTCTGATTCGAATCAATCGAATCAGGAAATTTTGGAGTCGGCACATCACTAGTTTATATGGTCCAATCAATTTCGAAGTAAGAGATTGTCTATTTGTAAACCAAAATTTTGCTTTTTTTTATTTTCAAAAAAAAGTAAACTATCTTGAAGATATAAATACATAGAAAATCATGAGCCTTATGACATATACTTCAAAAACAGCAAATATATATTTAAATAGAACCATAACACTTAAGAGTTATATTAATAGAGTATCATTTAATAGTATCATATCATCTGATTTTTTTTTTTGAAAAGTGCGATTGTAAGGAGCTTGCTCCGTTTTCGCAAAATTTTAAGCTCAAAGTGCCTTTTACTTTTCTTCCCAAACCCCGGATTGGGGTTGGTAATGAGAAGGATGTAAGCACCCGTTTGAGCGTAATTTTTTAAAATTTAAATTGAGCAGTCTTTTTTTTATCATTTTTAATAAATTTTAAACAATTAGGGCTGAGTGAAGCAATAATAAAGTCAGAAAATTTTTCGTGCAAGCGCCTGGTGAAAATTTGAAAATAACTAGTTGGTATTGGTATTTAGCCTTGAGGCAAGTTACATGAACTTCCCGATGTGTGTAAATAATCAACTTAATCAATAATAAACAAATTAATTTATGAGTGATTAAAAGTATTCCGAGATGATTTATTACACATAATTGAAAGCGAACGAACACGTTAACTCGGATTATTTTCTAAAAGCAAATTTTCACAAATCAATAATTTTTATAATTGTACCAGTTTTCGTAGGACGTTAATGGTTTAGTATGTTCATTAAGACCAAGTAATCTATCGTTATACCAAGTAAATCAAGGGCGAGCAACCTTTTTAACCTACGGGCCAATTTGGTTTTCCAAAATTTTATGGCGGGCCGCACGTAATATATATATATATATATATATATATATATATATATATGTTTAATTTGAGTTTAATATTCGGGCGTAACATCAATAAAAATATTTTTATTGATGTTACGCCCGAATATTAAACTCAAATTAAACATATATATCAACATCAAATTCAAGAATATTCAAAAATATATATATATATATATATATATACTAGATGACCCGACAGACGTTGTCCTGTACCCACTTCTACGTTTTTTTAATATTCTATACTAATATTTATACCGTTCAGTTAAAAATAATCATTGTTCTTCGAGTTACTATTTACACCAATATATGAGTGATGTTAAATGTAGTACTGTTTCAAATAATATGATTATTCTCAATTCCCACAGTTAACACTTTAATTATTTCTTTAACAAATATTAAAATATGTTCAATAAAATTATATATTAAAAATTATACACTGCGATTTATAGAACAAATTTATTTCCAATAGCTCAATTTATTTTGTTGAATTTAAGGATTATACAATATATTTAGACATACCTGTAGATGTGGATGTTTAAATGAATCATTTTTTGTTTATTGACGGCTAAAACATTGATTTTCCAAATTTATCACCATGTATTTATTGTCATAGCATAGATACCTGTGTTGAAAATTGAAATCTTTTAAAAAATATAACAAATTCAGAAAGAATTAATATATAGCATGCGGTCAAGGTACAATATCACCTTCGATTTTTCTACTCAAAATAATTACTTCAATAATGTTGCCTACAATTTTTAAGATTTCGTACCATATTTTAATTTGCTAAATTACACTAATAATTCTATATACATTATTACTTACGTTCATATTTGAAGTGAATTAATTTGTCAAATTTTGTTCACAATCTATTCAACCTACTATCAACAAAATTATTGCAGTAAATGGAGAGGAAAAAAGCGTATGCCCAGCTAATCTTAATCTAAAGTTCAGAAGTGAAAACAATTTGCATTTCGTCATCACACCCCGCAATAATTGGATTATAACTCTTTTAATTCTGATTTTATCATAACTATTAAATATATAAGTAATATACTATTTTAAAGGTGATTAAATGAGCTACAACTTTCTCTATCATAAATTTTACCGTAACTTCTCTTATTTTGAAACGGCGAAGGGTAAAAGGGCTCGAAAGACACTCCGGTTGGACAGCCTCGCACTCTTTAAACAGTTAGAACTCTATTAATATTTGTGTAACAAAAAAATAATTAATAATTAGCTGAATACCTTGTTTTCATATAATACTTTTATACGTATTTTTTCAGAGATTTTATGTGATATTTTTTTTAATATTTTTTTAAAATCATGAGTTTTTTGAAAATCGTTTGTACTAATGTTATGGTAAGAATCCATCAAGATCTCTCAAACCAAGTTTTCTAGAGGGAAAAAATTATTTTTTTTTGAAATGAAAAAAAAATTG